TCCCTGTAGCCCCAGCTGGCCTGGAGCTCGCTATGTAGACCAGGTTGGCCTCAAACTCAGAGATCCACCTGCCTTTGCCTCCTGAGTGCTGGGACTAAAGGCGTACGGCACCATGCCCAGCTTGAAAATTAACTTCTTTCTTTTATATACTTTTACTTTATGTGTATGAGCATATTGCCTGTCTGTAGGTAGGTGTGCCCATGTTGTGCAATGCCCAAGGAGGTCAGAAAAAGGCATCAGATCCCCTGAACCAGAGTTCTGGGCAGTTGTTAGCCACCATGTGGCTGCTGGGAACTGAACCCCAGTCCTCTGCAAGAGTACCCAGTGCTCTTAACCGCTGAGCTATCTCTCCAGTCCCAACTTTTCTTTTTAAAGATTTATTTTACATTTATTTATGTGTGTGTTTGTATGCCAGTCTATGTAGGTATCAGGGGAGGCCAGAAGAAGATCCCTTGGAGCTGGAATTATAGGCGGCTACAAACTGCCCTACATGGGTGCTGGGAACCAAACTCTGGTCCTCTACAAAAGTAACAAGCATTCTTAACTGCTGAGTTTCCTGTCAAGTTCCAAGATTAACTTTAAAACTGCCTTGTTCTGAAAAATGCCTCCCCAGATAACAAGGATGGGAAGGACAGTGTCTGTTCACCCTCTTCTGCAGAAGCAAAACCTCCTTAGAAGAGAACAAACACATCATGGAACCAGTCCACTGCAAAAGGGACCAGGACCAAACACAACACTATGATTTAACAGGACATTACCCTGACCTATCAGAAATCTATATTTTGTTTTTTCATGTTTTTGTTTTTTTTTTCTGAGACAGTCTCCCCTGTAACCCCAGATAGTCTGGAACCCCAGCTGAACATCCTGAGCCACTTAGTAAGACTCTGACTCAAAAGTAAAAATGTGCTGGAAATACAGCTCTGTGATAGAGTGCTTGCTCAGCATACCTGAGATCTAGGTAGAAATTCCAGTATGGGGGAGGGGAAGGGTAGGACTTTAGTGGGACCAGAATCCTCACCATTTGCCGGTACTTGTTTACATTTTCCTGAAGTGTGTTAAGTAGAAAATTGAAGATCCTTTCCATGTTCTGAGTTAAGGTTTGCTGAATATCCCTTCTTCTTTGAGAAGGAAGGGTCTGAAAGGTCACTACATCCTCTGCCAATCGTAAAAGGATGAACATCACTAATTCTCTTTGTGTCTCCTATGCCAAGAGAAATAAGATAGTTAAGCTAAACAAAAATACTTTCTTATATAGATATGCCCACAGGCTATTTTCTGTGATAAAACCAGGAACTCCAGCAGAAAGCAAACCCTTTAGTCTAAGAGTAAGCACTTGCAGTCAGCATAGATGCACTCCATACCCCTTGCCTAGAGAGAGTGTCCAACTCCATCAGCATGTCAGGCCAGTGCTGTGGCCATTCTCGTTTGATCATTTCTACTACAATTCGAGACAGAACATCTTTAATGTGGTTCTCCTCTTCCAAAATGTTAAGTGTTCCCTAAAAAATAAGAAGAGATATTCAGAAATCTGCAAAGCTGAATTCAAGGCATAAAACCTGGGCTATGAAAACATAAAACTCCTGAGCTGAGAATGTAGCTCAATTGGCAGTGTTTGCTGGGGCCCTGGGTTTGGTCCCAAGCACCACATAAACTGGGTATGGTGATGCATACCTGTAACCCCATACTTAGGAAGTAGAGGTAGGAGGATCAAAGTTCAACTATCCTCTGGGCCAGTGAGATGACCCAATAGGTAAAGAGAACTTGCTATGTAAGCTTGATGACCTGAGTTTCATCCCTGGAACCCTTATGGTTGAAGGAGAGAACTGATGTACTAAAAGCTGTCCTCTTGACTTCCACATGTGTACCATGACACCTCCATATAAATAAAAGTAACTTTATAAAAAGCACAATACTGATCAGCAAGGCTTCCTTGAAATTAGACCTGTTCTCCATGTCTGAGTCACTTGGCCTACATTCTCACTAATCATTCTTCCCATTTAAAACTTAAGTAAAGGTTCCAACAGCTAATAAAATGGCCATCAGAGTCAGGAAAGCACTGCTGTTCCTATTTATAAACTTTAGACTTTCATTTTTTTCAAGGTCCAGAGTGGAATGCAGAAAGGTACACATGTGGAAGCTGATAAAATGGGAAGGCATAGAGGAGCAATCAACTATGTTACCAGTAGTTTTAATAGTAAAAGGTAGAGACAAACTATTTACTGGCTTTTAGAAAGTCAAATTTTAGGGGCTGGAGAGATGGCTCAGCGATTAAGAACACTGGCTGCTCTTGCAG